CTCACATTTGTGAGATAAAAGAAGGTGAACCAATGACAGGGAAACTACTATCACTGAGGCAGAGAATAAGGAAGGTTTAAGAATAAGAAGGTGTTCAATATCATGAAATGCTACAGAAAGGTAAAGTGAGATAGCAACAGAGAAAAGGACACTGGACATGGGAAAGAAGTGTTGATTACTAGTAGCCTTAGAGTGATGAGATTCAACAGGGTTGTAGGGATAGAAGCCAAATTACAAAGAGATCAGGAGTGAGCGAGTGATGAAACAGAGAAGGTAAAGGTGAGCTATTCCCTTTTAGAAATTTAACAGTGAAGGAGAAAAATGATTTGATATTTAATTGGATGCCTAGTCAAGGAAAAGGATTTGTTTTAGAAAAGAGGACACTTAGACATATTTGTAATAGGCAAAGGAGGAGGAACTAGTAGTGAGAGAGAAAGTTTGGAGGTGAAAGACAAGCAGAAATGATGCAGAGAACATTCAATATGCAGTACCGAGTAGGAAACTCTATTGTTATGTACAAAATTCAGTTAAGTCAACAAAGCCCCTATGGTTTTCAATGTTCTGGGTGAAAACTCAGAGGAAAAAAAAGAGTGCCAGAAACAGAGATTCATCCACTTCATGAATCATTTTTGCTTAAGGGTCTTAAGTTTAAGAGATTTGTTTAAGGAAACACAAAAAATGGATGCTATAAATTTTTGATGAATATTTTAAAAATTAATTCATTTCCAAATAGTATCAGTGTAACAAAAGTCTTCTAATACTAAGAAACTTTCCTTATCCCAAGTTCTCCTTAAGTCTAAGCATTACTTCAAACAATCTTTGAAAAAATTATTTTAAAATATTTAAATGGAACATAATTCCCACAAGAACCTGAAGAATTAAAGTCCATAGTCAATCAACAAGCATTTATTAAGCACTTACTATGTTCCAGGCATATAGCATTTATTAAGTCCTTACTATGTGCCTGGTAATTTAATGTTACCTATTCTTCTGAACGGCAAATAAATGAAGTGAGGCAGCTCCTTAAGAAGCATTAATACTTTTTTTTTTTGGGGGGGAGTTTTGAATAGAGGTATCTTTTAAGTTGATACTTGTTAAGAATCCATTCTGAGGCTTTCTGCTATGATAAGAATATCTGAATACCAGCTGTCAGGTATGCTTTTTAGTCAATGGCTTCCTCACTTTAATTTGAACTAACACTGTCAATTGATCCTGCAGGGAATACTTAGAACTCTTGCCCCTTCAATGCTATATACCCCAGATAAAATGAAATATGCTTCCCATGATTGAGTTTTACCTTTATCTACACCAAAGTAGATTTCAGATAAAACAGCCTGGAAAACAGAACAGCCAGGAAAATAGAAGCTCCTCATTTTCAGTCTTTTAAGTTTTTAAAAGTCTTATGCTATCTTCACTGACTGTATTTTAATGAATCCAGTTAATTTCAAGTTCAATTTATTCCTTCCTAAAGGAAAAAAAAAACTATAAGTAGAAAAGGGTAACAAAGATAGTGGATAGTCTGAAAACTGCCATAAAAATAATAATAGCAAGCTTTTAGATAACACCTTTCCAAAACTGTTTTGCTTTACAAGTATCTTATTTGATCTTCACAACAACCCTTGGAGGTAGCTAGCTGTTCTTATTATCCTCACATAGCAAGTGTCTCCTGATTCCAGGTCCAGTGCTCTGTTCACTGTGACATTTGGCTGCTGTAATGAGAACACACAAGGGTTGGTTCAAGGATTTGTATTGGCTTATCCTGAGGAAGGGAATACACAGGAGGATATAACAGTAGTCTGCAGATATCCGATGAGTTGTGCTATGGAAGACAGAGTCTAAGTATTCGGTGTGCCTCCAGGGAAAAGAATCAAGAGTAAATAGAACATAAATATATGAACTTTCTAAGTAATCAGAGCTGCTAAAAACAGAATGTGTTTAAGCTAAAGCTGGATGATCATGTGTCAGAGATATCATAGAGAGAACTGCTACATTAGGTGGGATGTTAGAGTTAGAAACTTTAACGTACTTGTTACCTCTAAAATTCTGTGACTCTAAGAAGCAACTGGGGGTGGCAGAGAGGGGATGCCAATGAAAAACTGAATATTATCAAAAAACGAATGCTTACTCTTACTTTCACAAAGACTTAGAATTTCTTCTCTTATGAAAATTACTGTCCCATAGTTTAAATAATTCTAGAAATGCTAGCTATAGCAATAAGGTGAAAGAGAGAAATTAAAGGCATAAATACTGAAAAGGAGGGAAAAAAAGTTTCTATTTGTATGTGTGTGTGTGTGTGTGTGTGTGTGTGTGTGTGTGTGTGTATATACATATATATATATATGATGGCTTACTGAGAAAACCACAAGGAATCAGTAAAGAAAGTAAGTGATTAATAACTTCCGTAAAATGGCAAGATGCAAAACAAATTCACAAAAATCAGTGACATTTCTACATAGTATTAATGAAAAACCAGGAGAAAATGATAAAAAGAGAAACTCTATTCAAAATTACTACAAAGTCAGCTATTAATCTACCAAAAGACAGTTTATATTTATATAAATACAAGTATAAAACACTTCTTACAAATAAAAGGAAGACATATTTGGAGAGAGATTCATTGTATATGGCTAGAGTATACCAATAATAAAAATGACTATAATAATGACTATTAATAAAATGACTATACAACCAAAACAAAATACCAAAGGTTTACTTTATAAATTAGACAAAATTCATCTGAAAGAACAAAGTCTAGAAAATTCAAGGACAAATACAAAAAAAAAATCAACAACAGAAGAGGCATAGAATTAATAGCTCTCAAACTTTAATATAAAGCAGTAATTCCCCAAACCATTTAGTATTGGTTTAAAAAAAATGCAAAAGTAGATTAGTGAAGCAGACTAGATAAGTGAGACTGGGAAGAGAAGAAACAACAGTAGTCCAGTGTTTGATGAATGTATTCCACAAAAGCTGCTATGACAACTAGAAGACAGTTTGGTTCAGGTCAACATTTATACCACATACTACAATAAGCTCCAAATGGATACAAAACCTAAATATAAAAGGTCAAACCTTTAAAAAAATGTTGTGGACAACAAGAGATTCTTTTCATAGATATGGTATATGTTTTGGGGAGTGGGATGGAGAGAGGGGAGCCTGGTCTCTCTATCTCACCCAGGAAGTACAGCGGTGACTCATGGACCCAAACCCACCACCAATCTGCTCAAAAGCTTTGACCTGCTCCACTCCCAACCTGGGCCAGTATTCCCCTCCCTAGGAAACCTGGTGGCCTCCCATTCCCAGAGGCTCCCCATAATGGAGCCAGACTTAGTTCAAACACCCATATAGCAGCTCAGAACTCCCAAGCTTAAAAGATCCACCAGCTTCTGAAAACCCAATAGTACCGTCAGTCCCAGCCTTAGGGGGAGAATTCTTAACTAAACAAGGCATAGAGGTGAAAATATAGAACAAAATAAAGTGTCAATTACACAAAAGTTAAATGGCTTTTACACTAAAATCGATGTTGCCAGAAACTATCAAGTGGGGGGAAAAAAAACACCTTTCCTTTAAATATCTACCATAAAAGTCTGATATATAAGATATGCACAGAATTGATTCTGCATATGAGTCCAAGATCCACTCTCCAGTGGTTGGTCAAAAGGCTTTGAAAAAACAATTCTCGAACTGTTTGAGAGAATACAAATAATCAACAACCATAAAAGACTGTCATAAATAATAAAATGACATGCAAATTAAAGAAATTGAGGTTTTATCCGACACCTATCACATTGGCAAAAAGGAAAAAAAATGGAGACAGTCATTAGAGGAAAGAGCAAAGACACTAACACATACTTTGTGGAGCTGTGAAATGGTCCAGAGTCACTTTGGAAAACAATTCAGAATTTTTAAAAAATGACTGAAGTGTTCATACCCTTTGGCCCAAGAATCCCACTACTGAACTTATGTCTAAAGTTAAATCAATGATAGAAAGAAAGAAAGATGCTATAGATAACAAAATAGCAACATTTATAGCAAAACCAAGCCTGAAAACAAAAAAAGACTGAAAATAAAATGAATGTTCATTGTTTGGGCAATGGCTAACCAAATTTTTGTATACAAATGTTGCCAAAAAAATTTATGAACATGAGAAATATAAAGAAAAATGGAAAGACTTGTATGAAGTGATAGGGTAAAAAAAGCAGAATCAAAATAATAATATATGCAATGACATAATAATGTACATGATAAAAACTGGATGAATGATAGTGAATAATTTTGGTTCTGAAAAACTGCTAAAGAAACATATCTTCCTCCTTCAAGTGGAGAGGCAGGGAACTCAAATATGAAACATGTTTATGTTGTCAGATGTAGTCACTGTGTTGGATGGCTTTCCTAAAATGTTTTTCTTTCTTTTTGGTAAGGATTTAATGATTTTACTGGGGGTAAGGGGGGAATGGAACAGGACAGAGAAAGGGAAGAGTGTTAAGGGGAAATTACTTTATTAAAGATAACGTGGTTATACTAAAAACAAAAGACAGTACTAAAACTTGCAAAAATTAGCATCCCACTGTCACATATATTTGGTGCTTTTCAGGAAGCTAAATCCAGCATTATGTAAGAAATTCACTGATTTATTATTAATATATTTATATTAATCAGTCATCGTATTAGGCCACTAATGCTATTCTTGGAAAAACAATTTTAAAAAACAAACAAAAACAAAGATAAAACAAAAGCAATCAATTCTTAAAACAACATTTAGCAGGCAGGAATCTTGATTTTTTTTTTCTTCCAGGCACTAATCTGCCTGCCAGAAGCACTAATAAGCCGCCAAAGACAGTTCATCGTCTCTGTTACATAAAACATAAGATGAAACCTGGCTCCCTTATGCAGGAGGCTTCTCTATAATAACATGACAAAAATGTTCCAGATAAAAATGCTTTTTTTGAAAGAGACAAGGTTACAAGCTGCAGTTACTACAATCAACTCTTTGTACTTACCAGGGAGGGTAGATATGGATGATATCCTGTGGACCTCCCTTTAGGTGAACTGCAGTTTCCTTCGTGAACAGGACCTTGAGTTGGGTTCCAGGGTCCAGGATAGCATCTTTAGAAGGGCTGTCAGCAGGAGACATCTCTAACAACTCACAGATGGCAATCTGCATTGTGCATTCTTCATGCATCTCTATAATCTTTACAATCAACACTCCAGATTTTTTGCCTACAAAATGAAAAGAAAGAAACAAAAAAGTTCAAAAAGATGCACTTATACAAAGAATTCCTCCTCCCTTTTCCCACTTCAAGAGAAAACATGGCGATAGACGGATTATAGATATTCTGCAAAGGCAAAATATGGACAACATTCTTGTTAGCCATCAAAAATATATAAACAGGCCTATATGTTGCACATAAAAATGTGAAAAAGTAAAAAATAAATTAATCCATTTATGTAATATATGTGTATATGTATATATGTATGTGTGTATTTATACAAATATATATATTATATATATATGTATAGCTATCTAGCTATTCATAACTTGTATTTATGGAATATTTAAACTATGTGTGTGTTTTTCCTATTCTCCAGGAAAACAATGGTGCATAACACTTTTTGGATGGAATTTTTTCCCATCAGCTGGTTTACACATATATTTCATAGATGCTTTATATTTTATTCCTCCAAAGTAGATTCTCCATGTCACTTCCTATGGAAACTATTCCAAACTTTCTCTTCTCAAATTTCACACTTCCCCCTCCCCATTTTCTCTAAGCCAAGGACCTCACCTCTTACATTATGGAGAAAATTGAGGCTATTCACTATGAACTTTCTTTCCTCCTGTTCTCTCATTTCAAAAGTCCTTGAAAACTTCCTTACCTTCTCCTCCTTTTTTCCATACTCTGATGATAAGGTGGCCCCCCTCCTTGCTAAGGCTAACTCTACATCTGCACTTCATCCCATATTCTCCCAACATCTTTAGTACATTCCTCTGTCAATCATTCCTCCCTCCCACTAGCCTCCCACCCTTCTCTCTCTAATCTTCACTCTCTATATGTGCTGGGTTTTTTTTCTTTTTGTCTTTAAATGTGCTCAAGTCTCTCCATCCTAAAAAAAAAAAAACCCAACCTGTTAGACTGCCATCCCCTTAAGCTGTCATCCTATATCTTTTTTCCTTTTCTTAGCCAAAATCCTAGAAAAAGTTGTCTATATTTGTTGTCCCTTCTTTTTTTTTCCAACTCACTCCTCAACCCCTGGCAATCTAGATTCTGATGTCATCACTAAACTGAAAATGCTCTTTTCAAAGTTACCAATGATCTCTTAATTGCCAAATCTGATGTTCTTTTTGCAGCTGTAATTCCTCATGACCTCTCTGGGCATTTTATGTTGAAAATCATTTTCCTCTTAGACAGTGACTTCTCTCTGAGTTTTCATGATAAGATTCTCTTGACTTTTATCCTACCTGTCCAACTGTTTCTTCTCAGTCTCCTTTGCTGGCTCATTAACCAAAACACATTTCCTAATTTCAAATGACTGCCAAGGCTCTATCCTTGACCCTTTTTTCTTCTTCCTCTACAATCTTTTTCTTGGTAATCTAATTAGCTCCCCTGGTTTTATCATCTCACAGACATTGTGTGTGTGTGTGTATAGGCCTATTCTCTCCCATGACCTTCAGTCCTACATCACCACTGGACTGTTGGGAATTTCAAAACGGATATTAAAAAGAAATCTCAAACTCAACATGTTCAAAATAGAACTAATTAACTATCTGTCCCAAATCTTTTTCTCTATAAGTACCTCTTTATTTCTGCCTAAGGTAGAGGTTCTTAATATTCTATTTGTATAATGGCCCTCTTTGTCAGTCTGGTGGCCTATAGACCTTTTCTCAAAATAATGCTTTTAATGCATAAAATAAAATACATAGGATTACAAAGGAGATAAATTATATAGAAATACAGTCATCAAAATGTGTTTAAAACAAGTTCATAAACCACCCCCCTTAGTTAAGAACCCCTGATCTCCTAGTCTCCCGGGTGTGTAACCTCAGAATTATCCTCAATCCCTCACTCTCCAGCAACTCAAATATTCAGTCAGTAGCTTCAAAGTGAAATAACAGTAAAAGGTAGAAAGCAATCAGATTTGGGAACATAATAATTAATCTGTGATGGTAAATGCATATATGTAGGGAAAAAAGTACCAAGAACCCTAGTAATTTCTATTCATACAAATGGTACACATATAGTATAAAGTTCTTTTATTTTAAAGGTGAATATTAATCATTTCTCATCTCATTCTTTTTAGGCACCTTAGGGTTGAACAAACAGATGTCTGGAGACAAAACCCAGATTTGTATATGATGAATTAAATCAGCAATTCAATCCAGAAAGAAAGTTTGAAGCTCTCCATTATTAGCCTTTCTACTTTCGTATTAAGTGTGTTTTGGTAATAATTCAAGGTATTTCCTATTAATCATTTTTAAATGAGGTGTTATATAAGATTTGTCATTTCTACTCACATTCTCAGAGTAAGAGGAATAGGAGTCAACAGAGTTGTAACTTGAAAACAGATAAACTGCTTCATAAATAGGCATTTAGACATTGAGTTAAACCAATTAAAAGTCAATAATAAATTATCTTACAGAAGGATAAATCCCTCAGGAAAATCACCCATTCCATAAAACTCTACTATTATCTGTAAGTCAATAATTTCCAATCTCTCTTCATTCTTTAATACTACTACCCTTCTAGCTAATACAAGATTTCAATATTCAGAACATCTTTACTTTTATATTCTCAGTTAACAAGCATTTTTTTTTTATTTTTTCCTTAACAGTATTTTGTTTTTTCCAATTACATGTAAACAAATTTTAACATTCACTTTAAAAAATTTTTGAGTTCCAAATTTTCTCTCTTCCTCCCTCCCCTCCCCCTTCCCTAAGATACTAAGCATATGCATATATATATATACACACACACATACATATATACATGCATATTTCCATATTATTCATGTTGTGAAAGAAGAAAAAGAACCAAAGAAAAAAACCATGAAAAAAATAAAATGAAAATTGCATGATTCAATCTACATTCAGACTCATCACGTTTTTTTTTTATCATGAGTTCTTTGGAATTGTCTTGAATCATTGTATTGCTGAGAATAGCTAAGCCATTCATAGCTGATCATCACACAGTGTTGCTGTTACTATGTATAATATTCTCTTGGTTCCACTCACTTCACTCTGCATCAGCTCAAGTAAGTCTTTCCAGGCCTTTCTGAAATCTATGTGCTCATCATTTCTTATAGCACAATAGTATTCCATTACACCCATATACCACAACTTATTCGGCCACTCCCAATTGACGGCCATCTTCTCAATTTCCAATCTTTGCCACAACAAAAAAAGAGCTGCCATGAATATTTTTGTACTTGTAGGTCCTTTTTCCTTTTTTGTGATCTCTTTGGGATACAGACCCAATGGTTGTATTACTGGATCAAAGAGTAGACACAGTCTGATTGCCCTGTGGACATAGTTCCAAAATGCTCTCCAAAATGGCTAGATCAGGTTAACAAGCATTTATTAGGCATCTACTATGTGGCAGGATTGTAATCTGATCTCTGGAGACACAAAGACATCAGTGAAACTTCTTAAACTCAAAGAGCTTATTTATTATTATTATTTTATATATTATATATTATATTTTATATTTTATTTATATATTTTGTTTATTTATATAAATATATTTTTATATTTATATAATTAATATTAAATTATTTAACTCATAATATTATTATTATATAGCAATATTATTATTATTATTATTATTATTGGAAAAGACAACATGGACATTTACACATATATATAAAATAAATATGAAGTAATCTGTGAAGGGGAGACATTAACATCCAAGGAAAGGAATTAGGAAAGGGCTTCGTGTAGAAAGTGGTGATTGAGCAGAGCTCTCAGGGAAAGCAGGGGTTCTCAAAGGTGGAAGTTGGAAAAAATGCATTCCAGGAATGGAGACAAGGGCATAGAAAAGGGAGAGGGGATTTCATGTGTAAGGGCCTACTTGGCTGGACTGCAGAGTGCAAGAAAGCGAGTAATGTATTGTGACATGAGAAGTATAGGTTGGAGCCATGTTTGTAAAGGGGTTGAAAAGTCAGAGGAGTTTAATATTTGATCCTAGAGAGCCACTGGAGTTTCCGAAGTTGGAGGAAGAGAAGGCTGACATGGTAAGTCATTTGCTACAGGAAAACAGTTGTGTGGGGAAATGAGAGGCTGGAAGCAGGGAAACCAGATAGAAGACAATTGCAGCAATCCAGGATAGATTGTGAGGCCCTCCACCAGGACAGAAGCTGAGTGAGTGGGGAAAAAAGGAACTGCTCTGAGAGAAGCTGTAACAAGATTGACAACAGGCTGCTTCCTCTAAAAGCTCTTTCTAATGAGTAGAGCGCTTTACAAACCTCAAAGTGCTACATAAATATATCATTATTATTCTTATTACTATTATTTATTACTATAGTCTCCCTAACTTTAACACAAACTCAGTAAATTATACATCAAGTACTTGTATGTGTAGACTACACACAAATTAATTACATTTTTCATTGCCGGCCAGGATGCTTTTAGGTTTCTTTACTGCTTTTCTCAACTGTAGTTAGTATTTGTTCAGGAAATGCAAATTAATTTTAATATGAACATATGAAAACTATGATCAGAAAGGTAAACCTGCTGTAAGAGAAAAGAAAAGCCAATAGTGCATATAAAACATCCAAACACCGATGATAACAATGATGATGATGATGATGAGGATAATAATAAATAAGCGGCATTTATGTAGCAACTACTCTATGCAGAGCACTACACTAAGCACTTCAAATATTATTTCATTTGATTCTCACAACAGTTCTGAGAGTGAAGGGCTATTATTATCCCCACTTTACAGATGAGGATACTGAGGCAGTCAGAGGTAAAGTGTCTTGCCCAAGGTCATATTGATAGAGTCTGAGGCTGAATTTGAACTCAGATCTTCCTGACTCCAGGTACTGCATTCCATCCACTATGCCACCTAGCTACCCAAATACACTGATTAACCTAGTGCCTTGCCGAATAAATATCTGTCAAATTAATTTTACTGTGCTGCTAAACATTATAACTACTTTGAAATTTCACTCAAAACTATAATACTAATCCTCTCCATAAATGCTAACAAGCTACCATTAAA